GGCAATTTCACCATTTGCCTCCACTAGTGCTGCGCCATCACCTGGTGGTTAGCCTACTGGCAGTCCTGACGTTCGTTGTGTTTCCTAAAAGAATTTCTAGCTCAACACTTCTCCCGGTAGAAACACCTGGCAGGTTTTATTCATTTCGAGTTGCCCTCTGTGTATGTGTGTGTGTGTGTGTGTGTGTGTGTGTGTGTGTGTGTTGAGAGCCATTCCTTTCTAAAAATTACCACTGCGTGACCATGAGGAGGTGACTTGTCAGCAAGATTTCCCCAGTATTGTCATTGCAGACACATGTTTTTTTAAAATTTAATTATTGGATTGGTTAATTTTTTCATTGTAGGATGTTTGTCGTTTTTCGATGCATCTGTTGCATCCGGAAATACATGATTTACTTGGCGTCACGCACCCAACTGGATTTTTGCTGCATGGGCCACCTGGCTGCGGGAAGACGCTTTTCGCTGAAGCGGTAGCTGGGGTGAGATGTTTTCTCTGACTAAAGTGTGACTGTAAAAGGTAAGAAAGAAGTGAGTGAAGAAGAACCCAGTGCATGTGCCCGTGACACAGTTTTGTCGATGTGAATGTATAAAGCCATCATACAAAAAAGCCTTTCTTTTTTTGTGTTTAGAAAGCGGACAGTCTTCGGGAACACTATGCGAAAACTGCTTGTGAAAAGTATAAACCACAAAATTCATAGTTCCAGGAATTCGGCTTACCTGTTTTAAAAGTGGCATCGACTGAAGTGGTTTCTGGAGTGTCCGGAGAAACGGAGCAAAAAATACGGTTATTGTTTGAAAAGGCAGGAGAAGTGGCGCCGTGCGTTTTACTTTTGGATGAAATTGATGCAATAGCACCGAAACGTGAAAATGCGCAGCGTGAAATGGAACGGCGTATTGTATCGCAAATTGCTTCATGTCTTGATGGTAAATTATCCGTTTGATCTTTCCTGTTTTCCTTTCTGTCGAGTGAAACGAACAGTGTTATTATTGCCATTTGTGCTTCCTCAATGATTTCCGCACAGTTCCCATCGGGCTTTCTCGCTGCACGAGCCCGAAGAATAGCATCCCTGCAGGAGTTACTTAGATCGGGTGCGGCATGCAACTTGCTTTTCCAGCTCTGAAGCCGGCGGCTTTTCTGATTGCTCTGACCAATCCCATATCGCTTAGCAGCAGTCAGCTGGCTTCGCGTCATGAAGAGATTGCTGGCTCAGTGGTCCTCTCGACAGAAACATTTAGCGGTGCTTTAAGCCGCATGCTGTCGAGTGTATTTTTTCTGTAGCCGGTGAGAAGCAAACAGTTTTTGAGGGATTGCAGTCTTTTTTCTGCCAAAAGTCCTCGTAATGCTGTCGAAAGTACTTTCTCATGTTGCGCTTGATTTTAGAGCTGTCAAATCCGAGAAGAAGCGTGGAGCTGGCTGATCAGCCAGATTTGGATAGTTTGGTGGAGAAATGTTCCAGGAAGAAATTGGTTCTTGTGATCGGTATAGTTTGTGCTTCTATTCATTATCCGATATCGTTGGTTGAGGGGCTTATCTTCCGCATGTCTGGCTCGTGTACTTTGTCCAGCTGCCATTCCTTCCGTAGCAGATAATTGCGCCACTGGTGTGCTCGACTTCTTCGTATTTCCTGTGATCGTAGCTGCATAAACTGATTAGCAGCCTGCAGCTGAGCGTTCGTTTTTTGCGGCTGCCGTTTGTGTTATCAGTCTCTTCGTCACGGTGATGCCCCATTCATCCTTCCATCCTTTAAAATAGTTATTACTACTGGGTGGAAGTGTACAGCGATTTATTTTGTAGTTCTGTTGCTTGAGTCTGACTCAGTGACGAATTGTGCAGTCAACAGTGCTGGAGATGAAGCTTCGATTTCGCAATCGGAGTAGCCAGTTTTCTGCACAGTTCTTTATTCCTGTTGACAATAAATTGGTATTGACATATGCGAAGGAGCTGTACCCACCACTGGCTTACTTTTAAGCAGCTTTTAGGGGAGCTGTTGACAGTCTTGCCAGCGCGTAGTTGCTGCAGGCAGGTGCTATTACTCGGGCTGCTTCGGTGGTTTTTGTGGACTGTCGTAGAGAGCTAACTGGAAAGGTTTTTGATTTT